CTTCATAAAATTCAGATTGAACTGATGGCAGATAGACTATTTTGACAATGTCTTCCATCCTTTTCTGGGCCTTGACAGTGTTATCAGAAGGAAGGCAATGCAAAGACTGTTTTTCCACAACTTGGCACTGCACCACATCTTGTTGTCTTTGGAGCCACCTTTATCGTTTGGTTTATTTGTAGTCCTGCGTTTGCCTCTCTCGTTATTTACACTACATGCGTGAATCGGTGGGCGGGGCTAAACGGGCAGTGACGTAGATGCAGGCGTTGATCTTCTGCGGAGGTGGTGTTTAACCACAGTATACATCATAAAGTGGCACATTGCACAATCTGTCGTATTAGCAGATTGGCTTCAATATAAGCCGTTTTTAGACTAAAGAGAAAGTTTTGAGTTCTGAAATTTACAGGATGTTTTTATACTACAATGAACTCTTATATGTCGAAAGATCAAGGGAATTTTGAGACTTTCATTTCATGAGAAATCTGGGCTGCTTAAGAATAGCGTGCACATCTTGACTCGCTGAGCCTAGGTCAATTTAGTGAGATTGAGTGAACTTTAATTGTCATTTATGGAACCACTTTAGCCCTGATTGATTTGTTAGGTTATTTCAAGTTAGGGTTTGTACTTACAGGGTTACTCCACCCCAAAATGACAATTTTGTCATTAATCACTTACCTCATGTCTTCCAAACCCGTAAAAGCTGTGTTCGTCTTCGGAACACAATTTAAGATATTTTGGATGAAAACCGGGAGGCTTGTGACGGTCCCATTGACTGCCAAGTAAATAAAACTGTCAAGGCCCAGAAAAGGATGAAAGACATCGTCAAAATAGTCCATCTGCCATCAGTGGTTCAATCTGAATTTTATGAAGCGACGAGAATACTTTTTGTACGCAAAGAAAACTAAAATAACGACTTTATTCAACAATTTGTCTTCTCCGCGTCACGCTTTGATTTGAACGGAAACAGCGTATCCGTGTGGTGCGGCTGACACAGAACAGCATACGCAGTTTTGTGTCCAGTGGATACTCTCCAAAATGGCGTTACGGTGACGCGGAGACGAATTGTTGAATAAAGTCGTAATTTTTATTTTCTTTGCATACAAAAAGTATTCTCGTCGCTTCATAAAATTCAGATTGAACTGATGGCAGATAGACTATTTTGACGATGTCTTCCATCCTTTTCTGGGCCTTGACAGTGTTATTTACTTGGCAGTCAATGGGACAGTCACAAGCCTCCCGGTTTTCATCCAAAATATCTTAAATTGTTTTTAAATTGTTCGCTGAAATCAAATCAGGGACGATAATTGGCGAGCGCCAGCCAATGAGATTGTCGTTAGCGCATTAGTTCCGCCTACTACAGGAAAACCCGGCAGTTCTTAAAAGCTGAAGAATTCCAAAGGAAAATACAACACAGTAAGCGAGTAAGCGAGAAAGCGATGGCGAGTCGTGCGCCTTCACACTAGAAACACGGTATGCCAAATACACAAACACAGGTGCGCTGCGCATCCATTCAAATGAACTGAAAAATATCACAGATCGCTTGACGTAGAGTGAAACTCTGAAGCGCTCAGTCAGAGTGTTCTGTGAGTGAAAATTATTTTCTTTGCATACAAAAAGTATTCTCGTCGCTTCATAAAATTCAGATTGAACTGATGGCAGATAGACTATTTTGACAATGTCTTCCATCCTTTTCTGGGCCTTGACAGTGTTATTTACTTGGCAGTCAATGGGACAGTCACAAGCCTCCCGGTTTTCATCCAAAATATCTTAAATTGTTTTTAAATTGTTCGCTGAAATCAAATCAGGGACGATAATTGGCGAGCGCCAGCCAATGAGATTGTCGTTAGCGCATTAGTTCCGCCTACTAGAGGAAAACCCGGCAGTTCTTAAAAGCTGAAGAATTCCAAAGGAAAATACAACACAGTATATCGTTTACGTCTCGCTCTTTGCGCGTTTGAGAGAAAGCGATGGCGAGTCGTGCGCCTTCACACTAGAAACACGGTACGCCAAATACACAAACACAGGTGCGCTGCGCATCCATTCAAATGAACTGAAAAATATCACAGATCGCTTGACGTAGAGTGAAACTCTGAAGCGCTCAGTCAGAGTGTTCTGTGAGTGAAAATATATCTGCGCTAAACTTATACTCAGCCTCCAACTCATACACTGGTGAGTAAAATCTGAGAATTTATTAGCCATTGGCTAATATTAGACATCATTTAGTCGCCCAGAGTGAAGATTTAGTCGCATATGCGAGTGATTTACTCACAATGTAGAGGGTTGAGAAAACAGATAGAATACAAAAAGCTTTGAAAGCAAGTGTTAGTTTCTTTCTTTTTTTTTTACTGTTCTTATGTTTAATTTGTTTGAATAAATCCATATTTTTTTTATGACAGCCACCATTTAAATTTTTATATTTAAAAAAACGAATTGAAGTAGAAATATTATTATGTAATTGTAACTTTATTATTTTAAAAACTTCATTGTGTAATTTTAACAGTTGTATGCTATAGACCAATTCAGAGTAGACGTCACAGTTTAAGTGGTCAAGTGCAAAGACTGCAAGTGTGGGTATTTGGACAAAGCCTGTGTGTCGAACTTTTCATTACCTGATGGGACACACTTATAGTGTTGTAAAAATGCAAGTGTTTACACAGCTTTATTTTAATTTTAAATACTTTGCATTTTAAAATCAACTTCTAAATGTCTGTCCAGTAGTCTCTATAACATGACATAATTTTAATTTGTGGCGCTTCTAATTAAATGATAAAAAGCAGTTGCAAATGTTGTACAAAATAAATATCACCACAACTGTCTCTCGCTCTCTAGCCTTGGTTGTCAGGTGTGCGGGTTATTCTCGGTCATGGTCACGCTAGTGAATGGGTTGTTGAGTATTGCTGTTGTAGCCCTCTTTGCATTGATGTGCTAATGCTACATTTAATGTATTTTAGTCTTTTGTGCTTTTAATGCTTACGATTCGTATTTTGAGGAATATGTTTTCCTCATTGAATTTCGTTAAGCATTTGGAAGTTGTGTTGAGAGCGATTCACGTGTAAATAGAGCGTTTGAGAGAGATTTTTTTTCCAATTTGGTTGTGAGGTGATTGTGGTTTAAACGCTAATTCAGGGCATTATATGTAGTGTGTTTTGAGGAGGTTTTTGGTGAAGGGAGTTTTTTTGTGTTTTTATTTTGGTGCTCGAGTTGCCGAATTCTATTGTTAATATTGTGTGTGATGTGATGAATTGCGTTTCAGGCCCAGTAGTTTAATGAGTGACACGGTGAGCAAATTAATGTTTGTTTATTTAATTTGTTGGATTAATATTGTTTGGGGTTAAGAATTAAAGTTTGTTGAAATTAATTTGCTAAAATAGTGTATTTGTATAGGGGAATTGTATATTTTCCCCCTTTTCTTATTTTTTGAACTTTGCATCCAGATGATTTTTCTTATGCTTATTTTTCTCCCATGTGATTGTCTTATTTTATTGTGATTCTATTTGGTCTTGTACAAGATTTATTGCATTACATTTAATTGTTTGAATTATTCAATAGTTTTTTATTTTTTTCAATAAAAGCTCATTTATTGTAAGGTATTTAAAAGGTAAATGTTCCTGGGCCTGGAATTAAAATTGTTGTGATTTATTTTCTGTTTTCTTTTCTTTTTCCGTGTTGAATATGATGAATTATGAGATAATATGATTGGAATTGATGTTGAATAGAAAACTTTGAAAAACCCTTTCTTGTTGTTGCTTGTCCTATTTGATTCATATAAAAGAATTGATAGTGGCTCTACTAATTTAATCTCTAATGATTAATTGAATTCAATAATTGTGGTGGGGTTTTTTTACCCCCGCCCGAACCCAACCTTTTAAGGGCAAATACCGTCACAAAACTATCCCACTCTCTAACGTCAATTTAGTTGAATAACAGTGTTTATCGCTGGGTGACAAGCTCTTGAAATATGCGTAGAACATTTTGAAAATGACATCTAATCAATATAATTTATAATCTTTTTAAACCTAACTATTTTGTACTGTATCCGTGAAATTCTCTAGCTGTAAAGGCCATCTCTCCCGGGTTTTCTGCAACCATAATGCACGCGCATCCTGAATGTTACAAACCTATAATTGGTCTATAGCTTACAAATCAGTCAATTTTAACCTTCAATATTATAGTAAGCTAATGTAGTACCAAATTACTCTTGTGTATATTTTACAGCATTAGTTGTGATGTTTTTTCCTTAAGAAAATTCGCCAAGTACCCCAGATAGCAAAATGATTCTGGAGCGGATCCACCCCGGAGTCACCACAAGCTCCGGGAACGTATCGGAGTCCACTTGCACAGCGCAACGATCCGGAACAGATAAGGATTACGGATCCGGACCGAATCCGGTCCAGACCCTACCTGGATCCGCTAATAAAGCGGTTCGGATCCGGAACGGGTAACTCATCCGGACCGAATCCGATCTAGACCCATTCATTTAGTGGGTCTATACCTTATTTAAAATGGGTAATCTGGCCAAAACTAGCTATGGAAATACCTAAAATAGAGCCAACAAACATTATAAAGACTAGACTGCTCTATAAAAGTGTAATATGTCTCCCTTTATTAATATAAATAAACCATAAAATCATTCAAAACTTGAAAAAAATCAACTTTCCTTGGCCAATAATAATGAAACACTCTATAAAAAGTAGGTAATTACATGAAGAAAAATAAAATGCAACCACAAATTGTACAAAAAGAGTTTTATTTAATGAAAAACTTTACCTCTAGAAAGACAATTCAGTTCAATAACTTTGTAAAAGTTAATATTTACGAATGAATTCGTTCAATTCAGCCATAAGGAATTTTATAGCACACAAGTTTCATTCACTTTGTGTCAGCTCGATGCTGATTTAATAAAATTAAATATCAGTGAAAATGTTGCAAAATTAATGCATAAAGCATCTCTGCAGAAAACAGTGATATCATACTTCAGTTCAAGTCTTGTCATTATGCAATAGTGTCAGTACAATCAAATCAATATTATTCTTGAATAGTCAGTGTCTTTTAAACCCCAGCTAAGCAAGCCAGAGGTGACAGTGGAACCCAAACTCCAGCAGGTGACTAAAACGAAGAAAAAACAGCTTGGGAGAAACCAGGAGCAGTCAGCTCAGCTCTCCTCTGGGTAAATGAACAAAGATGATGTGATTATGATTTCAGGCTGCATCACTAGTGAGACTGTGGACTGATGTCATTCAGAATACTTCATCCAGCTCCTACTGCTTGAAGATCAGGATACGTCACACTGTCATTTGATCAGAGGAGAAATTGTAGTCTGTCCAGCAGGGCTGCCGTTTAGCCAGTAGTGGACGACTGGATTAACAGTGACTATAAGCAGGATAAAACTGCATTGTGGTCCTAGCAGCTCCTGGCCTGACACGTTCATTGCTGGCCATAGGGGTCTGTGCAGAGGACTTGTCTGTTTCTCGTGGTCTTTGCTGAGGATCTGTGCTGATGCCAGTCCAGTCGTGATGTTCAATTGTCGTGGTCTTCACTGACATTCAGGGCTGCATTGTGGTGGTCTCAGGGTGCAGGTCCATCATCTGATCTGGATACGGACCGGATCCGGCTGACTACGATAACCTTAGGACAGGAGTGAGACAGAAACACTGAAATAAGTAACAAGTATCGGTGTTGACTTTTTCTTGCAGCACCTGTAATCACACAAGCACATTTCATACAAAATTTCATGACATCTCATAACAAAGATTACTGTTAAATGTAGGATGTAAAAGTAGGTTATTACACGTTAAAAGCTGAAGTGTGTATCATTGTCAGTATTTGACAAACTAGTTGGCTAAATCAAGCTTAAAACTCTTTAAAGAAATTACTCTTTTAAAAAGTAATTTAATCTTACTTTTAAAGATGAAGTAGAATATCGAAGGATGAAGTAGAATCAAAAACCAGACTGGAGCACTTGAATGAGCTGTGAAGCTGCAACAGAACACACACACACACACACACAGTATCTTAGTATTTTTTCATTTCATATAAATTATCTGAAACAACATTGCAAGAGGTGAGGAATATATTTGTCAAAATATAAACAAAAATAGACTTGAGCTAATATTCCAGAACCAAAATTAAATGAAAAATATAGCATAATATCGCCTGCAGTTATTCCTGAAGAGGGGGTGAAAAATTACCTAACGTTAAATAACGTTATATGCTCAGGACTACCGTGTCTCACAAAAAGAAGGAGATCCCATCTAAATAGGCCTGATATTACTCAAATCTGCGATAATGCTAATGTGCTGAAGAGCTAACGTTCCACAATGCAATTTCACAATTAAAAATGCCAACAAAGCAATGAACTACTTTATTAACCTTAATGTTACTAGCAACTGTACATACTGTACATATAAAGCATATTTAAACAGTATTCTTGCCATGTTCAGCTTCAGCACTCTGAGGAGGATTTGAGTTCAGAGATACGACTGTTAAAAAAAAGCGCGTTCGGATTGCGAATCCGCCCAGCCTCCGTAATGAGTCCGCTAGTTTATTTCATATGTACTAAAACAACATTACGAGGAGAGGTGGGGAATATATTTGTCGAAATATAAATGAAAATAGACTTGAACTAATATTCTAGAACCAAATTTAAATGAAAAAAAAAAAAAGTTTATTCTCGCCTGCAGTTATTCCTGAAGAGGGATGAAAAATTACCTAGCGTTACATATACGACTAAAAGCCGGATCCCATCCAAATAGGCCTATTATTAACGTACTCAAATCTATGATAACGCTAATAATGCTAAAGAGCTAACCTTAACTGGACATTCCACAATGCAATTTCAAAAATTAAAAATTAAAAACTACAACAAAGCAATTAACAACTTTATTAACGTTTATTAACGTTAATGTTACTGGCAACTGTACAAATAAAGCATATTTTAAAAGTATTCTTACCGAGTTCAGTCTTCTTCAACCTGGCAAACCGTGGCTTCTCCAGTCTGAGGAGGATTTCTAAGATGGCACCGGTAAAAAAACGCCGTGTCCATAATGAGTCCGCTAACTGACAGTGCGGTGTCCGGAGGCGGGGCATATTCTGGGCGAATGACCGAACAGAGTCTGACAGTACAGCGGAGCTGCCGACTTGAGGGCGGATCCGCCCCGGAGTCTGTTGCTATCAGGGACTGTACCTGATATATATCCAAAATAATCGATATCGAATCGAATCGGTAATCGAATCGAATCGAAAGCTTGTGAATGAGTGTCGAATCGAATCGTGAAATTTGTGTCAAAACATAGCCCTACTAGTGAGTCTGTAAAATTGTAACTAGTTTATTCTTCATTTGACTAATCAATCAGGGAATTTTACCCTCTGAGGTGATTTAGTACTGTAACAGTAACCAGCTAATTATGTCTCACAAACATAAGGTTTCCGGTCAGTGAAACAAATTCCAAACTGATAATATATATAAACAGTTCTCTCATATGTGAATACTCATGTGGTACCTAAGGCCTACTTTATATTTAAAACTCATTCCACAGTGACCACATATAAATGGCTTCTCGTCAGTGTGAACTCTCATGTGCCTGTTAAGGATTCCTTTTCGGTTGAAATGTTTTCCACATTGTTGGCAGGTGAAAGGCTTCTCTCCTGTATGAATTCTAATGTGGTCTTCAAGGTGTCGTTTTTGATTAAAACTCTTTTCACACTGAGGGCATATATAGCGTTTCTCTCCTAAGTGAATTCTCGTGTGGTCTTTAAAGTGTCCTTTTTGATTGAAACTCTTTCCACACTGAGGACATGTGTAGGGTTTCTCTTCAGAGTGAAGTCTTATGTGGACTTTTAGGTTTTCATGTTGATCAAAACTTTTTCCACACTCTTGGCAGGTATAAGGCTTCTCTCTAGTGTGAATCCTTGTGTGTCTGTTAAAGCTTACTTTTTGAGTGAAACTGGTTCCACACTGTTGGCAGGTGAAAAGGCTCTCTCCAGTGTGAATTCTCATGTGGGAATTGAGGTTTCCTTTTCGGTTGAAACTCTTCCCACACTGTTGGCAGGTGAAAGGCTTCTGTCCAGTGTGAACACTCATGTGGACGTTAAGGTTTCCAGGTTGACTGAAACTCCTTCCACACTGACGGCATATATAAGGCTTTTCTCCGGTGTGAATTCTCATGTGCCTTTTAAGGCTTACTTTGTAAGCGAACCGCTTTCCACACTGTTGGCAGGTATAAGGCTTCTCTTCTGTGTGAATTTTCATGTGGACTTTTAGCTTTTTATGTTGACTAAAACGCATTTCACACTGTTGGCAAGTGAAATAACTTTTAGTTCCAGTCTTTCGAGACCTTTTTCGTGAAGGAGACTTTTCGTTCTGTGAGCAGCTAAAGGTTTTTTCTCCAATCATGAAATCATCATGATTCTTATAATGATCTTTCTCTTCAATTTCATTCAGTACTTCACTTTCATTTTTCAACACCATGAGGTCTAAGGTGAAAAGAGAGAAATACAAATTAACACCAGTTTAATGGCACAAAGAAACAGACATCAAAACATTTACACATCTAAAGCAGAGGTCCCCAATCACCCGGTCGCGACCCGGGTCGCAAGAACGTTCTGGCAAAAAATGTGTATAGATATGACATTGTGTTATTTATTGCGCGTTAATGATTGTTCTAATTATTCTGTATTATTACGCGATTGCTATGGAGTAGCAATTTGGCCATTTCATGTAAATGAAATGTTCAATTAGTAAATGAAAGATTGTTCTGATGAGCTGTCATATATTATGGGTGAAACAGATTGCAGTTTATCCGTGATACGTACGGACCAGACCTCACAGTTCGGCACGTATGTGATTCGTAGATTAATTTGCCAATTTACAGGTTGAAGCAATTTTAAACCTCAAGAATTAGAAGAAACGGTTACACTTTATAATAACTGCACTCTATGAATCATTAGGTAAACGTTAGTAAATAGTCAGTTCATCCTTTATAAAGCCTTGTCCCAACATTAATAGTCATTAGTAAGCAGTTTATAAATACAGCTATAAATGCCTTGCTCTTGATTTATAAGCACATCTATTACAAAGGAGACTAAAGGCTCAGTTATCTTCCTAACAAACAAACAAACAAAAAAATAAAAAGTTTCATTTTTTGCATCTTGAAATAATATTTCTGTTCTGTATCCCTCTGTGTTGTTTAACTTTTCTGTTTGGAAGATAAATCTCCTTTGTAAATGCTTTACAAAGTATAAATAGTCCTCACTTTAGATGAGCTCACAAAAATAGATGGCTGTCAACTACTAAATGTTTTATAACAACCTGACTTAATCATGAATTCCAGCAGGAATATGTGTCAATAAAGCAGTTATTAACACACTGAGCAACTATTATCATGTGTCTAAATAATAAGATTTATATATGTACATTTAAATAGTTTATTAATCATTTACTTGCACTTTCTTAATGATCTTATGAACCGCTGACAACTCCTAAATAACTGGTTTGTAAATAACGTAATAATTTTGAAATGATAAATTGATCATTAATAAAATATGAAAATACAATTATTAAACATTATAGATATGCTCAAGAACAAAACATTTATAGCTGTATTTATAAACTGCTTACTAATGCCTATTTAATGTTGGAACAATGCTTTATAAAAGGATGAATTGACTATTTACTAATGCTTAACCAATTATTCATAGTGTGCCGTTATTATAAAGTGTTACCGAAGAAACGGAAGAGAACTAAATTCGTTACTCACGCGCTGTTCTCACACACACCCAAAGCACACACACGCATAGAGACGTGTTTCAGACAGGGTGCAGAGGCTTATAGAGGCCAATAACGATGTCCTTCGAAATTCTAGAGCAGCGGGTACACTGTTGCGCTCAAGGTACATCATGAAATATGAATAAAAGAAATGTATAAACATAAGGAAAAGTGGAGTAACTAACAAAGCACACATGCAAACACAACATGCTGTGTGTGAAACTACTTTTGCATTACAAAGCATAATTTATCTTGCAAACAGATGTGCTTCCTGAGAGGAAATGGCACAAGACAAAAGACCCAGCTAAATTGAGCAAGTATCATTTCCTCCCATTCTATTTCTCCTCTAGAGTTTTTGTTGCCAAGGTCTCTTATTACCAAAACAAGATCAGCAACAATCAGACACATGGAAAATATTCAATGTGCTCCACTCTACTCTGTCCCCCTCCATGTCTTCTCTGACTGCTGATGAATTTGCCACTTGCTTGATTAATAAGGGGGAAACCCTCAGTATTAAGTTCTCTGGATCATTTACCAACATAAAAAAAAACAAACAACAACTGACAAATGCCTTGAAATAATCTTCATCTTAATGTATGGTAACCATAGTAATAAGTGGAAAAATTGACTCTGGGCCATTTTTATACATTTCATCTCTACCCACAATCTGTCCATGCTTATTGATTTCCAAACTATACCTGTATCACAAATTACAAGATAAATATTTTCACCCATTTCATTAAATATTAGTGGTGTTCTGCCATGTGCAAGACATATGCTGACTGAAGTTCATATTTCACAATATCAATGGTTCTTATTGGTAATTGAAATGGTTTTTGATATGGGGATTATGTACAAAATGTACTATATTGACAACCTTAGCTAAACAGTGATTTTGTGTTGGTTTAGGAAAGGATGTGAAATTTTAAAAAGAGTGAATATGATGGTAGACTTTAAAAGCAGAGAAGAATAACAACTCAAAATACCAGTGTAGAGGATCTTCGGCTTTAAACAGTCAATATGATCCACTCATTTACCAAATTAATTCTTCCTTGATTTAAAGGTGACATATCATGAAAATCTGACTTTTCCAGGTTTTAAGTGCTATAATCAGGTCCCTGCTGCATCTACCAACCAAGGAAATGTGAAAAAGATTAACCCAGTCACTTTGTTTTGGTAAGCCTTTTTCTGCAAGCGTCTGAGAAAACGAGCGCGTCTGATTTCGCTCCCTTGGTGACGTGGCAAAGGGATCTCATTATAATATTACTGCCCCTTAATCTGTAAACTTCCACTCCACGCGACAATGGTGTACCAGCTCTAATGCCATGGCAAATGTCTGAGCAAAACATGCTAACTGTTCTGTCTTTGGCTGCACAGACGAACACAGAACACTATTTACAGTCCCAGCCTCAGAGGAGACAAGAGAGCAGTGGATTTATTGATTTATTTAGGCTACTGTATATTGCTGCTGCCACACAGATCTAAAATAAACAAGCGATTTATTTCCCAGCTGTTTACCTTCACAGACATAACCAATTGTTTTTGTAACTCGTGTGTTTTTAACGTAAACTTATGTGTGAATGAGAACTTAGTTTAGTACTCACATGCTGTGACAGCAGCTTTCTGTCCATGTGCTTCGGATGTGTGCACTCAGAAAACCTTATATCTGAAGTTTAAACTCATATGGTTTAAAACGCATGATTTCAGCGCGATAAACATGATAATCAGAACCAAAAATCTAGCGTAGCATCAGTTCTGGCAGGTCACGTTAGTCAAGCTCGCATCAGCTGACTCTCAGCTGATCCCCATCAACCTATGGGAATACGACACCCAAGTATTCATATATAAGGTCCCGCAGTAGTATCAGCAGTTTTCGCATTGCTCAATAACTAATTAAATGGCGAATTCGGCAGGCAAAACCATCTCTACATTATTGTCATGAACTCCACAAGTTATGTGACTGACTCACGAACAAGTCAGATGGGAACTTCATCCCCAAGAAGGATATCAAGAGATCAAGCAGCCACTTCATAGCGGCTATGTTTCACTCTCTCGAATGTCTTCACAAGCTAAGTCCCATTTAATGTTCTCAGGTTATCTGCAACATGTGTGTTGCCAAGGCTATCTGTGTTGCTTGGGCTCATTAAGTTTTTTTTTCAGTTAAATGCTTGTGCTAGTTCATGCATGTGCAGTACTTATCTGTTGTCACTGGCAACACGCTTGTTGTTGCAATATGCTGTGCTTAACTGGGGTAATGTCATTTCATGCATTCGGAGTTATTTACACTGTTAATTAAGAGTCAGATTCTTATGCGCGTGCGCTCAGCGACCAGAGCGAGAGAAAGAGCGCGCCGCTTAACGCGTTTCTTTCATGGTTACGGAAGTCTTTGGCAGCGCCGCAGTTAATTGCTCGAGTTACTAGCCTGCCTCCGGCTGGAGAGATTAGCCGCTTGCAGTCGGGACGGAATTAAAGCGGAGACGTCAAGTCAGACACTTTCTGCTCCGGGTAATGACGCTCTTGCAGTGTTTGCATACATTCACAGATGAAGTGAATTAAATGCAACATTTGTCAAATACACAGATGTTTCATAAAGCAACAGAAACACTTTTTATACTGCTTAATACAGCGCCATCTGTTCATGAATAAGTTAAACATTAACATATGCTATTTAAATACCAATTAAGTGGGAGCGTATATATGCTTTCATCAGTGTTTTTGAAACGTGACTCAAAATAACAGTGCGACTACCTAAAAATGCTTTACTATTATAAACACAGATTGTGAGCATTGGAATTGAATTGTTAGAATAAGCATGCAACACACATCATGCTTTTCATCACAGAATCTAACCAATGAGAATAAAGTGTGTCGTCATCAAGGCTTTTGCAGTGTCTGACCTAGGCGGCTGGTCCCGGTTTGCTCTCACGGTACTTTGAATGCACATGTGATCATAGGGTGGCTGCAGCGCCGATCAAAGTTGGACAAAAGTATTTTAATGTAACCAGAATGCATTGTTTTTGACAAGCGGCAGCCGATCTTTGCGGCGCCGCATGAAGTCAAACAAGCCTGATATCTCTAAAGAGTGTGTTTTCGGATGTGAGGAAAAGATAACCTTATTCAGTGTTGTGCGAACAGTGGATGCAATTTGTTTTTCCGGGGCAGCAACAGAGTTTCTCAAGTGAGTTTCTCAGGTCTCAAGTGCGTTAATTTGTTCCCGTCATTTCGGTGACGAATGTTTTATAGCAAGGTATATTCTAACACTGGATTTGCACAGTGTCTGGAAGATGGAGAAGCCCCAGCGATCAAAGACTGGCCAAAACTGTGTGTGTGTTATGTCCCCTTTAACCTAGGGAATCATTTTGCCGCGGCGCAGCTCCAAGAGAAATTGGTAAACGGTCATTGTTCAGTTGAAATCGTCTGCATCCGGAAACCTCAGAAAATCAGCGAATGACTTCGCAGGCAGCGTTTGTTCATGAAGGTAACTCATGAAACTTGATATCGGACATGCTTCTGAGGCAGCTTAATGGTTCGATAATCTACAACAAATTGAATGATCTTGGTGATAACTAAGCAAATATTCAATTGATTATTTGTTAAACCATCACAGGATAGAACACACAGGATTGTTGGGTATCAAGGCAGCAAAGGATACATCTATTCTGCCTTTTAATGTTGACCAGATGAGGTATCTCAGGAGGCAGGAATTGAAGCTAATTTTGGTTTCGACATGTCTCGATGATTTCCTACCTTGAAATGTGTCCTCCAAAGGCAGCATTTTCCAGTTTCATATGCAGCCGTCAGTTCAGCGTTAATTCTGTTCCTGTATCAGACACGCTTGTTCTGTCTAGTCGTATTGGAAACATGCTTGGTTGGTATTGGGAACATGCTTGTTCTAAAAGCTGTAGTCATATTGGGAACATGCTTGTTCTTAAGCTGTCTAGTCGTATTGGAAATATGCTTGTTCTTAAGCTACCCGGTCATTATTGGGAACATGCTTGTTCTTAAATTATAGCTGTATTGTTGGGAACACGCTTGTCCCAGAGCTATCTGGTTGTTATTCGGAACATGCTTGTTCTGAAAGCTGTAGTTGTATTGGGAACATGCTTGTTCTTAAGTTATAGTTGTATTGTTGGGAACACGCTTGTCCCAGAGCTATCTGGTTGTTGTTGTTCGGAACATGCCTGTTCTGAAAGCTGTAGATGTATTGGGAACATGCTTGTTCTTAAGTTATAGTTGTATTGCTGGGAACACGCTTATCCCAGAGCTATCTGGTTGTTATTCGGAACATGCTTGTTCTGAATGCTGTAGTTGTATTGGGAACATGCTTGTTCTTAAGCTACCTGGTCGTATTGGGAACATGCTTGTTTTTAAGTTATAGTTGTATTGCTGGGAACACGCTTATCCCAGAGCTATCTGGTTGTTATTCGGAACATGCTTGTTCTGAATGCTGTAGTTGTATTGGGAACATGCTTGTTCTTAAGTTATAGTTGTATTGTTGGGAACACGCTTGTCCCAGAGCTATCTGGTTGTTGTTGTTCGGAACATGCTTGTTCTGAAAGCTGTAGATGTATTGGGAACTTGCTTGTTCTTAAGTTATAGTTGTATCGCTGGGAACACGCTTGTCCCAGAGCTATCTGGTTGTTGTTCGGAACATGCTTGTTCTGAAAGCTGTAGTTGTATTGGGAACATGCTTGTTCTTAAGCTACCTGGTCGTATTGGGAACATGCTTGCTCTTAATTTATAGCTGTATTGTTGGGAACATGCTTGTTCCAGAGCAATTTGGTCATTATTCGGAACATGCTTGTTCTGAAAGCTGTAGTTTAATTAGAACATGTTTTTCTTATGTCTAGCTGGTGTTATTGAGAATGCTGCTTAAGCTTTAAGGTATTGGCAACATATTCATTGGTCAACTGTTAAAGGCAACAGAATTGTTGCTACAGGTTATTCGGGTTTTGGCAACATATTTGATTGGTCATTGGTTAAGGGCAACATGCTTAAGGCTTGATATTTGCTATCAGTTTGTGTTGGGGGATATCAGCATATGGTTTTGTTTTGGGGGGGTTATCGCTGCTCTCCCTGCTCTCATCCATGCTAGGCTGCATGGATGCGCAGGGAGTTCTTGCCCAGAACGGAACCATACCGCCAATCCAAACTGTATGCTAATTGTCAATCATCTTTGACGATAATGGTCCTGACAGAACAGATGTTTTTTTAGCAGGTACGAGCTCTATTCTGGAAAAGGGGGCGGGGAGCAGCAGCTCATTTGCATTTAAAGAGACAGGCCCGAAAAACAGCTTGTTTCTGCTTCCACTCAAAATAGGCATTTTCAAAATTATATAATAAATGATCTGTGGAGTATTTTGAGCTGAAACTTCACAGACACATTCTGGGGACACCAGAGACTTATATTACATATTGTAAAAAG